CGAAATATGCTCCTGAGCTTGGTCGATATCCCCTCTGCAAAGTACGGGGGCAACTTGCCCCATTTCCCTGGGTTCAGGGGTCCCTGGGATATGGGACTTTCAGTGCTAAACCAGGACAGTCCCAAGAAAACTGGGTTGGTTGGTCACCTCACCCTTATGTCCTTCAACGGCTCCATCTTTTGGGAACCCTGTGTGTCCCTATGGTCCAGTCACTACAGGGCTCATGTCCCTAGGACCTGCAATTGCTGTTGCGGCCCACGGTGTATTATACATATGCGTGTGTATACACATACATATAAATTTAATATATGATGTGTATATAACATAGAATGCCATGTGATATACGATATATAATATATAATATAATACATATAACACACATATGCATGTCCATCTACATGTCTTTTATGTGTGAAGAAGAGTACAGCTTGATAAATCTTCACAAAGTGAACACACTCGATTATCAACACCTAGATCAAGAAATGATTACAACCAGGGCACCTGGGTGGCTCAGTGGGTTAACATCTCACTTTTGATTTTGGCTCAGGTCGTGATCTCAGGGGCGTAAGATCAAGCCCTGGGCTGGGCTCCTCACTCAGCAGGGAGTCTGCTTGAGATTCTCTCTCTCTCTCCCTCTCCCTCTGCCCCTCCCCCTCTAAAATAAAGAAATCTTAAAAAAAAAAAAAGAAATGGACATGACCAGCCCCGCCAAAAGGCTTTCTTGATTTCCCCACCTGCTCCCCCTCCCCTCATCAATGGCAACCATTCCATTACCTTGACTTCTAGCTCCATAGATTTGAGGTGCCAGACGTAATTTGTATAAACGGGACCATACCATATTCTCTCTCTGTCTCCGCTGCGTGCTCTCTTTTTGTGCTTGGCTTCTTTTGCTCAGCGTTAAGAGTTATGAGACTCATTTGTGTTTTGCATGTCTCATTATGTCTTCCTTTTTATTGTGGAAAAGCATCTCAAAGGGTGGCCCAGGGACCCCTGGGGGTCATCGAGACCCTATTGGGGGGGCGCTCACCAGATCAAAACTACTTTCATAATAATGCTAAGATAGAATCAGCCTTTTCTTCCATTCCCTGGCCAGCCCTCAGTGGGTTTTTCCAGAGCCTTCAAGACACACCTCAACAGACCAAATGAACCCAGTAGCCGCTACGGGGACCCGGCTGTCTTTTATTCGGTCTGACACTAAAGAGATTTGCAAGACTTTAAACAGTGCTGCTCTTCTCATCAACTTCTTTCATCTGGGAAAATACAGTTATTTTTTCATGTGGAAATATATCGTTTTATGTTAACATGTCATGGGTTTATTTCAAATGAACTGAGAAATGCGTTATATATTTTTTATTCCTCAGTTTTAGATTTTATTTTTATTTATTTATTTTTTTAAGATTTTATTTATTTATTTGACAGAGAGAGAGAGAGACAGCGAGAGAGGGAACACAAGCAGGGGGAGTGGGAGAGGGAGAAGCAGGCTTCCCGCCGAGCAGGGAGCCCGACTGGGGCTCGATCCCAGGACCCCGAGATCATGACCTGAGCTGAAGGCAGACGCTTAAAGACTGAGCCCCCCAGGCACCCCTTATTCCTCAGTTTTAGATTTTAATACGGTAAATGCAGTAAAGACCACTGATGTAAACAGGTGCTCTTTGGGTCTTGGATGACTTTTAAGAACATAAAGGGGTCATGAGACCAACAAGTTTGGACCTGTCTCTGGGCAGGAATGATCTGCTCTGGATGGGTCTTTGAGTAGCTTCCGGTTTGGGGCTATTGTGAGGATGTGCTCTGAACGTTCTTCTCATCTTCTCCCTGAAATAAGCACGCATTCCTGTTGGGTGTGGACCGAGGAATGAAATGGCTGGGTTATATGATAGGCACACATGCACTTTTTAACAATACCACCAAATGGTTTCCTAGAGGGGCTGGAGTACCTTACGTGCTCACCAGCCGTGTGTGAGTTAACACTTAGAACTGTCAGACGTTCGTTTTAGCCGTCTGGTGGGACACAGAGGTATTACTGTGAGGTTGTAATTTCCATTTGCCTGGCAACTGATGAAACAGTGCCCTGCGTCATGCATTGATGGGCCGCTTCTGAAATGCCTGTGTAAGTCTTCTGCGACCTGGGCAAATTTCAAAGCAATGTGATGTTTCACAATCCCAAAGGATGGGCTAAGGGAGACCACTCTCCCTGCCCTGGGGACCAACCCCTGGGACCCGAGGCTGGTGCTCTGGGCTCCGGATGATCAGCAGCCACTGGGTCCAGCCTCCCATCTGAGCAGGTGCTCTGACAGGTGAGGCCTGAAGACTGATTCCCACTTTGTGGGTGGCCAAGGAGATAATCCTCTTTACAGGTGGGCAGACTGAGCCTGAAGGGTGGGGAGGAAAGTGCCCGCCCCCGCCCCTCCCCCCCAGCACACAGCTGACAAGCCTGAGGCCCACCAGTCCCAACTGCTCAGACACTGCACTGAGTGGAAGCCAGGCTTTAAACCCAGACTCACGTGGCTCCACATCGGTTCTGGGAAGACTCCCCCAGCTCCGTGGGGTTCACCCTTGCTCTGCAGCCCCTGATGGCTCCCCTGTCCAGTGGGAACAAGGAGCTGGGGTGGATGCCACCTTGCCCAACACGGGAGGTGGAGAAAACCTGGGTTTCAGGGACAGTTAGATCTTGAACTAACCAACTCAGCAATAATGTGATCCCCGAAGCATCTGCAAACACTGTTGGGTACTCCCAAGTCGGACCTCACTGATTCCTGTGGCAATCACAGGTCTTTGGCTCTTTCCATAAAACCACACCCCACCTCTGCCCTGTGTGTGTGTCTCTCTGCCCCTCTGCCATTCACTCGGCCCTTCATCCATCCCTTTATTAAGCACCTACTGTGTGCTGGGACTGTCCCAGACAGACAAGGTCCCAGCCCTCCCGGAGTTACGACCTGCGAGAGGGGCGGAGGAGAGGCAAGACGTTGGTAAGAGTTTTGCAGAAAATAAAGCAGTGCGAGGGAGCTAGGGAGCTACGGGGTGCAGGCCCCCCACAGTCTAACCCACTCCCTTCTGCTGCAGTTGAGGACTTGAAAAACACGGAGATTCTTTCCTCTCTACATCTCTCCCGGCATTCAATCATTGAACAAATGAATATTGATTTCCTCTTTATAGTTCTCCTCTCTCTCCCTTTGTCTCCCAGCTGTTTGATCTCCCCCAGTGTCTGTCACACCCTCCCGCTCCCCCCCCCCCCGCCCCCGGCTGCCCCAGGACCCTGTCTCCTGCGGGGCCTCGTGACCTCTGGTCTCCTCTGGGCTCCTTTCCTGCACTTGGCTAGTTTGGGGACAGGAAGAGGCCTGCGGGACAGAAGGGGACTGAGTGGTTAGAGGACAGATGGCACAGAACTGGGCACAGAATGCATTTTCTTCGAGTGGTGGCCCGAGTTGAGGCTTTGATCTTCCCACGTTGAGCTGAGGCTCCCGCGCTTGGGGGGACAGGGGGCGGGGCTGAGGGGCGGGGCTTCCGCTGCCGGGGGGCGGGGCCTCCAGCTGCAATCCTTCCCTGCTCCCAGCGGTGCAGGTGGTGAGAGCAGGTTACACCGGGGATAGTGGTATTTCTCTCATCCTCTTTTTTTTTTTTTTTAATTGAGGCACGATTTACATGGATAAAATGCACCCCTTTTAAATGATCAGTTTGATGCATTTTGACAAACTGGAGCTTTCATGTCATCGCAGTGCCTCTGGAGAGACACAATATTGCACTGCCCGGAGTTTCCCTCAGTCCACTTTGCAGTCCGTACCCCCTCGCCACTCCAGGTCTTATCATCGTGACCCTTTTGGTGGGCGTGTTGTGGCATGCCATTGTGGTTTTAATTTGTGTCTCCCTGATGACAAATAATGTTGAGTATTGTGTGTGTTTGGCTCATCGGCTATCAGGATGTCTTTTTTTTTTTTAAGATTTTATTTATTTGACAGTGAGAGATACAGCGAGAGAGGGAACACAAGCAGGGTGAGTGGGAGAGGGAGAAGCAGGCACCCCGCGGAGCAGGGAGCCCGATGCGGGGCTCGATCCCAGGACCCCGGGATCATGACCTGAGCCGAAGGCAGACGCTTAACGACTGAGCCACCCAGGCGCCCCTATCAGGATGTCTTTTATGAAGTGTTTCTTCCAGTGGTTTGATTATTGAGTTGAAGGAGTCTTCTGTATTCTGGATATAAGGTCTATACCAGCTATAAGTTCTGCAAATGCTTTCTAACAGACCGTGCCTAGCATTTTCTTGTACTTAAGGGTATTTTTTGAAGAGTAGCATTTTCTAGTTTTGATCACATTTAATTTATTTTTTTTAAAGATTTTTATTTATTTATTTATTTATTTGACAGAGAGAGCGAGAGCAGGAACACAAGCAGGGGGAGTGGGAGAGGGAGAAGCAGGTTTCCCGCCGAGCAGGGAGCCCAATGCGGGGCTCAATCCCAGGACCCTGGAATCATGACCTGAGCCGAAGGCAGATGCTTAACAACTGAGCCACCCAGGTGCCCCGATCACATCTAATTTATTGATTTTCTATTTCATGGTGATTGCCTTCTGTGTCCTGTTTAAGAGACTTTTGCTTATCCCGTGGTCAAGAAGAATATGTCTGTTTTTTGTTTTTCCCCACCTCTAGGAGCATTATAGTTTTGCTTTTTCACATTTAGGACTGTGATTTCTCTCAAATTAATTTTTGTGTATTGTGATTGAGGTTCTTTCTTTTATTTTTTCTTATGTGGATATTCCATTGTTCAAACATGATGTATTGAAGACTTCCCTGTTGACTTGCTTTGGCATTTTTGTCAAAAAATCAATTAATCATAAAGTTTTTGACCAATTTCTGGGCACCTGGGTGGCTCACTGGTTAAGCGACTGCCTTCGGCTCAGGTCATGATCCTGGAGTCCCAGGATCGAGTCCCGCATCGGGCTCCCTGCTCGCCAGGGAGTCTGCTTCTCCCTCTGACCTTCTTCCGGCTCATGCTCTCTGTCTCTCATTCTCTCTCTCAAATAAATAAATAAAATCTTAAAAAAAAGTTTTTGACCAATTTCTGAACTGTGTATTCTGTCCCATTGATTGATTTGCTTGTCCTTATGCAATATCGCGCTTTTTTTTTTTTAAAGATTTTATTTATTTATTTGACAGAGACAGAGCGAGAGAAGGAACACAAGCAGAGGGAGTGGGAGAGGGAGAAGCAGGCTTCCCGTTGAGCAGGGAGCCCGATGCGGGGCTCGATCCCAGGACCCTGGGATCATGACCTGAGCCGAAGGCAGACGCTTAACGACTGAGCCACCCAGGCGCCCGATATCGCACTGTCTTGATTACTGTAGCATTGCAGTAAATCTTGAAGTCAGGTAATATAAGTTTCCAGCTTTTTTTTAAAGATTGTTTTGATATTCTAGATTCTTTAAATTTTCATAGAGATTTTTGAATCGGGTTGTCGGGTTTCTACAAAAACACACTTTTGAGAGGTTTTGGTTGGGATTGCAGTGACTAACGATTCGTCTGAGAATAACTGACATATCTTAACAATATGGAGTCTCCCAATCCCTGGTTTATTTCACTCTTGACTTGGGTCTCCTTTAACGTCTCCCAGCAGAGCTTTGATGTTTGTAGAGGGACAATTAGCTGAAAGAAGAGATGACAGGAGTTAGGGATGGATTGGCTGTGGGACGAGTGTGAGGAAAAAGGGAGTGGGCAAGGCTAAATGACAAAATCTCCTCTTGAGTCTCTAGGTGGAGATGAGAAAGAAAATGACTTCTCCTGGGGGGATCCAGCTCAGAAGAAGGGCCTAAATGTGGACTCAACTGTCCCCCAGGGTCATGTGCATGACCTTCTGAGACCCACCTCTGCACACCCTCCCACCCTGGGGGGGCCCTGACAGGCAGATGGGTGCACAGTCCCAGGAGGAAGTGATGTGGAGAAGTTGATACTTTTCTTCCACGGGGCCGTAAGGACCCTCTCTCGCTCTCCCTGCTCAGCCTCCTTTCCTTCCCTGCTCTGGTGGGCCAGGACGGTCTGTTAACAGCACTGGATTGTCCCATCAGTAGCCTCCTGACTGGTCACTGAGGGTCAGACAGCCCCTCCCTCTCTCCCTGTCACCCCTGGTTCTTCAAGCTAATGAGACCTGCCCTGATTCCCGAGCCAGGCTGCTGGCCTTAATCCCCCCCTGGCAGGGGGTTCGTGCGGGTGGAGAAAGAAAGAGCCCCTTATGATGAGACACAATGACCCAGCCACAAGGCAGGATTACCACCATCACACGCGTGTATGTACGTGTGCGAGGATGTGTGTGCGTGCGTGTGCATGATCGGGTGTATGGTGAAATAGAACAGACCTAGGGAGGGAGATGGAGACAAGGACAATCACAAGTACAGAGTGAGAGAGGCTACCAAGATAGGGAAAAAGCAGAATTGGAGGGAAAGTCGGGAGAAAGAAATCGAGAATCAGAGAATCAAATGAGGTGTTGGCAAAAAAGAGAGAGAAACAGGACCAGAGCTTGGAACTTGGGAGGTTGGATAAAGAAGCACAGAGGTACAGGGGGTACGCTGGAGTTGCAGGGACAGGTGGACAGACAGGGAGACAGGGACAGAGAGACACAGGTGCCCAAAGCAAAACAGAGACAGAGTCGCAGGGAGAGAAAGGGAATGAGAGATCCGAGAACAAGAGACCAAGGCAGAAATGCAAGGAAATCAATCAAGACAGGGACGGAGGGGCACAGAGTTGGAGAACGAGGTGGGGGGCACACATGTGAAGTAGCAGGAATGGCATAGCCGGGGGCCCAAGGGAGAGAGAAACTGAGGCACAGAGATCCCAAACAAAGACCAGTAGAGCAAGTAGGAGAGGCTGATGTCCGTTAGAGACAGAAAGTTTGGAGACCAGAGTGATAGAGGCCGAGGCCAACAGAGAGAAAAGGGGAAACTGAGCCAGAAGCCACAAACAATGGGGCCAGACAGGTTTGAATAAGTCGGCAGACAGAATGCTGGGGAGAGAAGGGGTGACCCAGGAGGGGAGGCAGAAAGCCCTGCACCCCTTATTTTTCAAATGATCTCTCAGCAACACCCAGCATTTCTCTCCTTCCTCTTTGATGGGATGCCAAATCGGGAGGGACACCAGTTGGACCTCAGGAAGAACTTCCCTGAAGAGTGGGGGCTCCTGGTCACAGGCAGGAGCTGGGGCTTCCTGTCCCCATCAGGCCTAATTGCCAAGATGTCTTGGGGAGGAGAGGGGGGATTAGGCAGACGGGTGCCCCTCCCCCTCCCAGCCAATGTCACCTCCTGGCATCCAGTCAAGTCCCCCACCCGGGGCCAGGATTACCCTCTGAGATCCAGGCCACTGCAAATGACATCACTCCCAGCCAGGGCTTAAAATCGCCCCATGTGAAGGGACCTGTTTCCTTCAGCCTCTGCCACCTGCCAGGAGAGCCCCGTCCCCCTGTTTCTGAAGGTGAGTGTCTGCAGGAGTGGCAGAGGGGACGGAGGGAGGAGGAGTGAGAGAGGGGAGACTCAATTCTCAGTTCTCAGGGGCCGAGAGGAAGGGATGTGTGATGTTTGCTGCAGGGTCCTCTAGGGAATGGCGTTTCCATCCTGGTGTCTGAGATGCGGGGTGCCTGTGAGCACAGCAGGAGGGAGTGAGGGTGGACAGGGCATGGGGGAATGCCTGGGGTGCCTAGTTATTTGTTGAGTAACTGCTGAATGACAGGAATAGAATGCAAAAACCACTGGCCTGCAGCAGGAGGGAGGAAGGGTAGACTCTGAGGTGGCCCGATGGGGCCGGGAATGCCGAGATTCTCAGCTCACATGCTGGTGGAGTGATTGCCTGGGGGCCTCCCTACTCTAGAGACTCCTGCTTCCCCAAGTCCCATCTGGATCAGGAGGATGTATAGTTCAGCTCCTTGTCCCACCGGATGGTGGAGCTCATGGGGGCAGTGCAGACAAGGCAAAGGAGGACCTTGAACGTGGCTGATCTGGGGGAGTCTTGCCAGGGCTGATGTGGGGCCCCCTGAGTCTGGGCTTAAAGCCTGCCTTTTACTCACTGTGTGGCCTTGGGCCATTCACGTGACCTCCCTAAGCCTCAGTTTCCTAGTCTGCTAAAGTGGTGACAATGACAAGTTGCCATGAAGAGCCACTGGGACCCCATGTCACAGGCCTGGCCTGCAGTAAGCCCAGGAGAGGGAGCTGGCTTCATCCTGCTTTGGGGGGATCGGGGGCACAGTTGGGGGTCGAGAGCAGGGGACTCTACTCTCTGAGCCTCGGGTTCCTCCTCTGTGAAGCGAGGATCATAGTAGAACCTACCTTGGAGGAAGTTTTATCGGGATGATTGTTCCCTGAGATCTTGTTCTCGAGGCGCAGTTGGGGGATCATGACTGGAGGTCCTTATGGTTGTCAGCTGCCTGACTGAGGGTGGGTACCTTCCTCTGTGCCCTTCAGGCTCGGTTTCCCCACCTCTAGAATGGGATCATCTCCTTGACTACCCACAAGGTGGGTGCGAGCCTTCAGGCCTTCCCTGTCAGAGCACCTGCTCAGGTGGGAGCCTGGACGCAGTGGCTGCTGAACCTCAGAAGCCCCAAGCGCCAGCCTCGGCTTCCACGGGTTGAGCCCCAGGGCAGGGAGAGTGGTCTTCCTCAGCCCACCTTTGGGACAATGAAGCATCATTGCCTTGAACTTCACCCACGGGATGATTACAGGGTTGCTGTCAGGCTGACTGTAAATTCTCAACAAAAGGTAGACATCCTAACTCTTGCTGTCTGTGCTTCTTGGGATGGGACACCAAAGCCTGTGTAGAGTGGGCAAGTCCCGAGGCCGTGACCTCACTAGCTGTCTCATCTTGTTGCCAGAGAAAAATTTCAGTGGATGTCCGACATTATTTTTATTATTCTTTGTGGACGTCTTGTCCACAAAGCCCTTGTGGGTTGTCTGAGGAAGCCGGCAAATGCTCAATCCTGGAGGTCATTGTCATGACCAGCTGCTTGGTCTTGGGTGAGCACCTTCCTCACCCTAGGCTCAGATTCCCTGTCTGTAGGGTGGATCACCCCAGTGCAGAATGCTGGGCTCTCCTGGAAGGCCAACCGCTTAGCCTGGTAAACCCGGCACAGAGTCGATGGGGAAGACAATGAACGTGGATGCTCTCGTTCCAGGCTCTGCACCTGGTCCCTAGCAGGGCAGTGCCACACGTCTCCCTGTTTCTGCACCTTCCAGAAGCTCCCTTGGAGAAGAGGGAGAGGACAGAGGGAACCCAGGCTGGGTGCCGGGAGAACAGCCTTCAGGAGCCTCCAACCCAGGGTTGGAATCCCGGGTCCCCACAGTCTGTGTGTGACCCTGGGCAAGTAATGGTGCCTGAGCCTGAAGACATTCCCATCTGTGAAATGGGAGCATAACAGGAATGCCGAGTCTGCCTCCCAAGGCTCTGTTGACATAAGGGCGTCCTGCATAGAGAAGGCTTGCATGTGAGTTAGCCCTAGCCGTGTAACGAGCCACACTAAAACTTAGCTGCTTAAAACAACAAACACTTATGGTCTCATACAGTGTCTGAGGGACAGGGATCCGGGGCGGCTCCACTGGATGATTCGGGCTCAGGTCTCCTCGCGCTGTTGTATGTAGTCCAATGTCAACCAGGGCTGAGTCCTTGGAGGGGTTGCCTGATGCTTTGGAACTGACCTTCCACGGGGGGCTTGGTCCCATGGCTGTTGGCGGGACACCTCAGTTCCTGGCCCCCTGGATGCACCCCCCCCACGATCCCAACCGGCTGCCCCCAGAGCAGCGCCAGCCTTGGAGGTCACCCTGTCATTTATGCAGTGCCGAATGGGGGGCCTATGACAGCCCTGCTCCATGGGAGGGGAGAACACAAGGGGGTGACTACCAGGGGAAAGATTATTGGGGGCTTCCTAGAACGCCCATCAGGTCTTCGGATTTAAAGCGGCTTTTTGCTTTTAGTGTAACCACCAGCACTGAGCTTCCCCATGACCTTCCTGGCCAGGCCCTACATCATCTGATTCGCTCTCCACCTGGATCGCTCTGCTCCAGTCACATTGGGCACCTGGTTTCCTCCTCCAACGAGACAAAATGATCCCAGCCTCTGGGCTTTGCAGCTGCTGTTCCCTCTGCCTGGAGGCATCTTCCCACGGTGACTGAGCCCATCGCTTTTCGGCCCCAGGGTCCCATCCTCGCAGAGAGACCTTCCCTGACCATCCGTCTAGATGAGCTGTCTTACCCTCGCCCCAAACCCCGTCACTATCCCGTTACCCCATTTCATTTTCCCAGAGGTTCAATCCCATGAGAGCAGTGATGCTGTGTGCCTCATTTCTTGCTACATCCCCACCTCCTACAGCAAGGTGGAATCTCAAACATTTTTCTTGGAGGGGCAGTAGGACCCCAGTTTATGATAAATATAACACCATCCCCCAAGTGAGGGATGAGAAGGAGAGGCTAGTGGGAGCAGGAGGGGGGAAGGAGCTAAAGCAAAGGTCTTCTGTTTTCTACTTTTACTTATTTCTGAAATAGTGGTGTGTGTTTGAGAGAGAGACAGATAGACAGACAGAGACAGAGAGAGAGAGACAGAAAGAGGGAGAGAGAGAAATCCAGGTTAGCGCATAGGATGGCTCCCCAGGGAAGTTATGCTTGAACTGGAGCACGCAGGAAGAGAAGGGGTTAGCTATGACAGGGACTGGACAAGAGGCATTCCTGGCCCAGGGAACAGCTTATGCACACACCCAGAGAGGCTGGGAGGCTCCCCGAGGCCATCTTAGTGGGGGCGATAGGGAGCCCCGGAAAGACTCTCATGGTTTTTTGTTTTGTTTAGATTTTATTGTTGCTTTTGTTTTTGAAAAGCTTATATGTCCATACAGTGACAGAGCAGTCCAAACTATAAAAACAAGACTTGGATATAGGACACCTCTCCAGAGGGCCTCACTTCTAGTGGTATCCTCTGTCCTTCCTGGAAATTTTCTGTGCATATATATATATATATATATATATATATATATACGCTACACGCTAACCTGGATTTCTCTCTCTCCCGCTTTCTGTCTCTGTCTGTCTCTCTGTGTCAAATAAATAAATAAAATCTTCAAAAAAAGTGTAATTTTAACAAAAAGAATTAAAAAAAAAAAGATTTTACTTGACAGGGAGAGCATGAGCAGGGAGAGCGGCAGAGGGAGAGGGAGAAGCAGACTTCCCGCCTAGCAGGGAGCCCAATGTGGGGCTGGATCCCAGGACCCTGAGATCATGACCTGAGCTGAAGGCAGAGACTTAACCGACTGAGCCACCCAGGCGTCCCTAATTTTAACAAAATTGGAAAACCTGACTCTCAGACACATACAAAATAAGCCCTGATCAAATACTATTTCGGTTATTAAATGAGGAAACCAGCCATTTCAAAGGGGGAAAGTCAAGGAACAGGGGCTAATACGGTTCTTCAGGGAACGTGCAGAAAACAGAAAGGAAACTGGGCAACAGGGCAGCAAATCCTCTGTAACCTTGAGGTCATCCTTTCTGCGGAGACAAATCACTTGCCACCAAACTTCTTGCAAGTTACCCTTTACCTTATCAGAGTCCGGAGGCTGATCCATAGCAAATAGTAACCCGAATAGAGATCGGGTCCCTTAGAAAATGAAATAACCCTTGGGCTGGGAGGGGTTCTGTTAAACAGGCTCCCAGGATGATCTAGAAACGACACACCATCTCCTCTTATTGCCAAGCGTAGGATCATTTCTGTAAAAATCAGTTCGCGGCGGCCTTATACTTTTTAGTGACTTGATGGAATTCCCTTGAATGCATGTGACATCATCTACTTGCATAATTTACTTACCACCTCCCCTTTGGTGGACATAGAGGCTGCTTCCACATTTTGTCGACTGTACGCGCGCGCATTGGAAATCCTCGTGCAAAGCCTGTGCAAACATCCGCTTGCAAACGGCGAGGGGCGCCCCCTGCTGCTCGCTGCGCGGCCCTGACCGTGGCGTCAGGTGCTGATACGCACCTTGCATTTACCCGCCCAGCCACCTAAAGATGTAAATGCTGTTTGCATTCCCATTTTCCCTCGAGGGGACGGAGGCGCCCCGAAGGCAAATTGCCCCGGGGAAGGGGGGTGGGGAGAGGAAAGAGGGCATTTCACTTTGATCAGTGCTTCCAGTTTATTCCGATGCATGGATGATGCTCGCTCCTCGCCGCTCCCGACCGGACACGGGAACGCCTGCTTCTCCGCACCCAGGCTGGCTCTGGGGCTAACGGACCTCTTTTATCTTTTTTTTTTTTTAATTTTTATTGTTATGTTAATCACCATACATTATATCATTAGTTTTTTTTTAATATTTTATTTATTTATTAAAAAATAAAAGAGAGAATGAGAGAGAGCACATGAGAGGGGGGAGGGTCAGAGGGAGAAGCAGGCTCCCCACCCCCCCGAGCAGGGAGCCCGATGCGGGACTCGATCCCGGGACTCCAGGATCGTGACCTGAGCCAAAGGCAGTCGCTTAACCGACTGAGCCACCCAGGCGCCCTATATCATTAGTTCTTGATGTTGACCTCTTTTATCTTTGCCCACCTGATGGGTCCCACGTGGTCGTGGAAGATCATCCTTCACTCGTTTGCATGCTACTCTGCCACCCCAGTTTGTCCGGGACTCTTCCCGTGTTTGTGGGGGACATGCCCGCATCTCTAGAAACCGCCCTGTCCCAAGCAGATCGGGACAGCGGGTCACCCTGCTGTCCGTGATTCTGTGCGAGGCTGGACATCTTTTCTGGGGCCTAGGATTCGCATTACAGTGTCAGCTGCTCTTGCAGATGGGGTCTCGGGGGAGCTTTGCCCACTTTAAGCAGAAGGCCATTTCATAGGCGTGGAAACTGAGGCACAGAGAGATAGGTGCCCAAGGTCACACACCTAAGAAGAGCCTGAAGCAGGACTTGGACCTGGGCTGCCGGGCACCACGCCGTACCTGGGGAGTGTCTGAGCGCCCCTTCCTCTCTTGCAGGCCCACAGACCTGGGCCGCGGTGTCCCCGAAGATCATGATGGCGTATATGAACCCGGGGCCCCACTACTCGGTCAACGCCTTGGCCCTGAGTGGTCCCAGCGTGGATCTGATGCACCAAGCTGTGTCCTATCCAAGTGAGTACCATCCTTCTCCTGACCCCCCAAGCTCTCGGGGGCCCCTCGGGGTCCCTTATTCTCAGGAAGAAGCTGGGAACTTACTGGGGTGATATTGGAGTCACACACCCGCTGTATGTAGTCCTTTGCAATCTGCCAAACACTTCTGCACGTCACTGAGGGGTGCAGGAAAGCGTAGGGGTGTTCATAGCAATTTAGGAAGTGGTTCCTTTTAGCTGGACCTGTCTCCCTTCTACACCAGAAGGCGTTGATGGGCGCCTGGGTGGCTCAGATGGTTAAGCATCTGCCTTCGGCTCAGGTCATGATCTCAGGGTCCCGGAATCGAGTCCCGCATCGGGCTCCCTGCTCCTTGGGAGCCTGCTTCTCCCTCTGCCTTTCTCTCTCGCTCTGTCTCTCATGAATTAAAAAAAAAAAAAAAAAAAATCTTAAAAAAAAAGAAAAAGAAGGTGTTGAGTACTCTCAATGGCATGTTTCAACTGAACATGTCTTTGTGCGTAAGAAATTTTAAAAAGGGGATAAAAACCAAACTCATACACCTGCTTACAGGGCTAAGGCCAGTTCTCGGGGTGAGGCATGAGACCCAAGATGACGGGCCAAGAGGGGCCCCATTTCCCAGGGGAGACAGAGTGAGGTCTACAAGGTCAGGGAGTAGGTGCACCCTTCTTTTGGGAAGATGCACCCCCAGAAAGGGCTTCTCGGCATCCCGCTGGACATCAGGGCTTCCCGCCCGCGGACAAAGAGACTGGGAGGTCCGGGTCTCCGGATGGTCCCGTTGTCCTGTCCCTGCCTTAGGCGCCCCGAGAAAGCAGCGGCGGGAGCGGACCACCTTCACCCGGAGCCAGCTGGAGGAACTGGAGGCCCTGTTTGCCAAGACTCAGTACCCAGATGTGTATGCTCGAGAGGAGGTGGCTCTGAAGATCAACCTGCCTGAGTCCAGGGTTCAGGTGGGGTGCTCAGGGCCCTGGGCCCCTTCCTGCCCGTCCTGGGACCCAGAGTGAAGGGAGGGGGAGTAGTCATAGAGTAACGTAGAGACATAACAAAGTCATGTATAGCCCTCGTAATGCTTCACCCCCATTACTGCCCCGTACCCCTCCTCCCACCCTCTTTGCCAGCCACACCTGCCGGTTCTTACCTAACACGCCGGCCAAGCACACTCTGGCCCCAGGCCCTTTGCACTCTCTGTTCCTTCTACCTGGAAGGTTTATTCCCCATCACTTTGCTCAAGTCTTTGCTTATTGACCAATCAGGTCACCGTGTCCGTCAATGGGACCTAGACGGACCCTCGCATTTAAAGTCACAATGTCCCCTGACGCCCTACCCTGCTGCCCCCTCCTCCCGCTCCCGCTGGTTCTTCCAAAGTATCGATCACCTTCTAAAATACTATGCAATGTACTCACTGTTGATTTCTAACCTGTCGCTCTCAACAAGAATGTCGGCTCCACGGAGGCATCCCCAAGGTCGTAGTTCGTGCGTGTGTCTTAATTGATTGCTGGCTAAGTGTGCAAACGTGCGTGTGTATGACTGTCAGTGTGATCGGATGGATGCACGTGCGTGTGCGCACGATTGTACGCACGACTGCATGTGTGATTATTTGTATGTACGTATGATTGTGCGTGTGTGTGTGTATAATTGCGGATGTGAATGATGGGATGGATGGGTGGATAGATGGTCGGATGGACGGACTGGGTGCCCCAGGACCGACTGCAAGGCGGGGAGCTGTGACTCGGGCATGCTTCACCAATTAACACCATCATTCCAGGGCAGCGTGGGGGCTCTCCGGGGCCCCCTCCCCACTCACGCATGCCATCTCCCCCTCGCCCCCCCAGGTTTGGTTCAAGAACCGCAGAGCTAAATGTCGCCAACAACGCCAGCAGCACAAACAGCAGCTGCAGCCCCCGGGCGCGCAGACCAAGGCTCGTCCTGCCAAGAGGAAGGCAGGCCTGTCGCCGAGATCCTCCTCCGACATCTGTCCGGACCCCCTGGGCATCTCAGACTCCTACAGCCCCCCTCTACCCGGCCCCTCAGGCTCCCCCACTGCGGCTGTGGCCACCGTGTCCATCTGGAGCCCGGCCTCAGAGTCCCCCTTGCCAGAGGCCCAGCGGGCGGGGCTGGTGGCCTCGGGGCCTCCTTTGACCTCCGCGCCCTACGCCATGACCTACGCCCCCGCTTCTGCTTTCTGCTCTTCCCCCTCAGCCTATGGGTCTCCGAGCTCCTATTTCAGTGGCCTGGATCCCTATCTTTCCCCCATGGTGCCCCAGTTGGGGGGCCCGGCTCTCAGCCCCCTTTCCGGCCCATCCGTGGGGCCCTCCCTGGCCCAGTCCCCCACCTCCCTGTCGGGCCAGAGCTATGGCACATACAGCCCTGTGGACAGCTTGGAATTCAAGGACCCCACAGGCACCTGGAAGTTCACCTACAACCCCATGGATCCTCTGGACTACAAGGATCAGAGTGCCTGGAAGTTTCAGATCTTGTAGAGGATACTCTTCTGCGTCTCGTCTCAACCTGCCCCGGGACGGGCCTCCCTGGGAAAGCCTCGGAGCTGGCTTTCCCTCCAAAGGCTGTGGCTTTTCTCACCACAGTCCCTCCCACCCCACCCCAGGGACTCTTTGCTTTCTGGCGGGTAGTGGGGGGGTCTGGGGGGGCGGCTCAGTAGGTCTTAGTGACCCTCAACCCAGCTGCCATTGTAAACCACGAGCCCCAGACTCCAGAAACTGGTGCTGAGAATGTGCCCCGAGACGAAATTAAACCACACTCGCGGTTGATGTGGGGGTACTGGTGAGGTCAGCCTCGAGATGCCCTTGAACAGAGAGACAGGTAGGGAGGCTCAATTCCGTACCTTCCTTAGCATATGGCTAGAGATCCTTCTAGAAAATCCAAAGACAGACTTTTCAGCAGCCCCACCATGGACGCTTAGACCAACTGTATACAGTTCAATTAAAAAAATCCATTTGGGGATGTTATAGGTTTCACACGTCAGGTTTTATATGGTAGGTTTAGGGGGCTCTTTGATATATATATATATATATTTTTTTTTTTCTTCTTCTTCTTCTTCTTCTTAGATTTTTCTTAAAGACATTTCTTCATTCATGCATTCTTTCAGAATGGGCACATTTGGTGGGAGAATGGAAGGCAAGCTGCCTGTTTCATGTCTTTTTCTCCTTTTGTTTTAGGATTTTCTAAAGGTGAATTTCACCCAAGCGTTGGAGGAACTGAGGTAGTTGCAATTGGGGCCGATTGTGGGCCCCAACTCTAGCTGTGGGTATTTCGAAAAAGAAGAGGAGGTGGCAGGCTTCCCATCTGTAAATAGGCAAGAGATGGGGGTCAGGGGAGAGAAGTGAATTTGGAGGAAGCCCCGCATTTCAAATACACAGGTCCTCTCTTAGATTCTGTTTCCTGTTCCCATTGCGGGGATTGGACCAGAGAGCCTGGCCTGAGGGAGTTTCCCTGGGGCGGCGCCATCTTTCTTCCCATGCAACTTGACCCCCAGCAACAGAGACAAGCCCTGAGAGAATTTTAAGAAGGAGTCAAGCATGTTGACACTCTTGGAAGTTTGGTGCTTTGGCCTTGCTTCCCCAGTCTGAATTTTTCTTTTGTTTTTGGCCCTGGGGGAGACAGAAGCCATGAGCCTTTCACTGGGGGGCTTCACAAGTTAGCAGGAAGTAAGGCAGGAAGGTGGCTGTGTGCTGGTACGTGGGAACCACTAGCCCTCCAAAGAAGAGGAAAAGCCCTGATTTTAGCATTTGCCAGTTTCCATGGTGCAAATTCTCCCACTATGGCTGATTTCTAGGTGCCCATCTGAGGTCAGGGACTCAGAGCCCGATGCATGCCGTCTGCGCTCCTGGGCTGGTAGGAGCTAGCTCCAGGTCCTCGGTGCAGGAAGGGATGTCAGGAGACCTCAGATGGTTTTTCCGGGTCCAGGCCGGAAGAGGTCCACACAGCCTAGACCCCCGAGACCCCTGAGGAAATACTGCCATCACTAGAACCCACAAGGAAGGTTTACTCAGCACACCACGTGACTATCTCTCATGGGCCTGAGTCATGTTGGTCTCTGGGACGTTAGACTCAGGAGTGGCTCAGAGTCCAGTGTGGGACACGAAGGATAAGCAGAGGAGGACAGCGCATGCTGGGGTGGGGGTTGGGAGGTCCAGGCAGAATTCGTAGAGGTGAATCTGTTCAGGAGCTTCCGGCTTCCTTTCCCGGGGCCAGCCTCCTGAACTTTGGGGATGGCAAAGGTTCTACTTCCTAAAGCCAGGACGAGTGACAAGGGGGAGAAGGAAGCGGCCGGGAGCCCCCCTCATTCTGTGTCTCTTTTCCCACTCATTGGGACTTCAGTCTCCTTTCCTCCAGGCCACCCACAGAGTGACAATGATTAAAATGCTGAATCCTGCTTAAAGTCTGGGTGGTTTTTATTTTTTTTAAATTTCTGAGGAGGGGCCGACTAGGGGAGGTGGAAAAAGAGGTCGCTCTGTCCCTCCAACCCCCCCGCCCCCAGTCTCTGGGGACATGGGTCGGTCCACGTGCTTTCTTTGTCTGGTCACTGTCTTTTCCTTGGAATCTCCCTAAAGCCAATTAAGCAGAGACATGGGCTCCAGATGCCAACTTCCACCTGCTGTGACTTCGCTGAGCCCCTGAGTTCCCCTCTGCAAGGGGGGGAGGGGGGTGGCCGCGCTTCCTGCCTTAGTGGCCCATGGAAGGACACAGGCCCTCCCTGTCAGCCAGCCTCGGGTCCCCCCCATGTCCCTCTCACCTCTGTTTCTCTCTTTCTTTTCCTTCTGACTGTCCCTCAGACTCCCAGGTCCCCATTTCTCTTTGCTGGATTTGTACCTTTTTCTTTCTCTTTCTTCTCTTTTCTTTGCCCATTTTTCTGTTTCTCCAAATGTAAGTCACTGTTGTCTGCTTCTGTCCCTCTCAGTCCCGGAGTCCCAGGTTAAGATTTGTGTGTGTGTGTGTGTGTGTATATTGTGGGGTGTGTGTGTGTGGTGGGGGGGGCACAGGGCTGGTGGGGTCAGACACACTTGCTGTCCGAGCCTGGGTCAGCCACTTCTGGTCCCAGGATCCCGGGTGATTCATTTTTCCCAGCTTCAGCTTCACCTCCTGTAACACAGAGAAAACTTACCTCGAGAGAACGAAATGAGATCCTTATATTAAGTACCTGGTCCTGAACCTCTGGTCCGTGGTAAGTGCCCAATAAACATTTATTTTTGTGGTAAAACACACAGCACATAAAATGGACCATTACTATCATCTTTTTTTTAAAAAGATCTTATTTTTTTAAAGTAATCTCTACACCCAACTCAGGGCTCGAACTGACCACCTCAAGATCAAGAGTTGCACGCTCTCCTGACTGAGCCAACCAGGTGCCCCCATTATTATGACCTTAAAGTGTGCAATTCAGTGATTTTAAGTACATTCACAGAGGAAACCAGATACAAAAGGCCACATAGTGTAGGATTCCATTCATATGAACTGTCCAGAAGAGGCAGATCCATAGGGAGGGAAAGCAGAGTTGTGGTTGCCCAGGGGCTGGCTGGGAGGGAGGGAATGGGGAGTGACTGCTTAATAGGTACATTAGGTGACAAAATAGTAGCAACCCAGTAATTCCACCTCTGAGTATATACCCCAAAGAACTGAAAACAGGTATTCAAGCAAAAACTTGAGGGTTCCTGTTCATTGAAGCATTATTTGCAATAAGCAAAGGACAGAAACAAGCCAAACAGTTATCAACTGTTGAATGGATAAACAAAATGTGGTTGGGCCATCCAATGGACTTTTTTTTTTTTTTTAAGATTTTATTTATTTATTTGACAGAGAGAGAGAGAGAGAGCGCACAAGCAGGGGGAGTGGGAGAGGGAGAAGACTCCCTGCTGAGCAGGGAGCCCAATGCAGGACTTGATCCCAGAACCCTGGGATTATGACCTGAGCTGAAGGCAGACACTTAACCAAATGAGCCACCCAGGCACCCCATCCAATGGATTCTTACTTGGCCACAAAAAGGAGAAGTTTATTTATATTTTCTTAATAATCTTTACACCCAACATGGGGCTCAAACTCATAACCCCGAGATCAAGAGTCACATGATTTTCCAACTGAGCCAGCCAGGCACCCCGGGTGTATTCTATATCTTGATTACGGTGGTGGTTCCATGGCCGTATATGATTGTCTAAGCTCCTCAAACTGTACTGTTCCAATGGGTAGATTTTACAGGATATAAATTATACCTCAATACATTAGAAGGAAGAAAGAAAAATCCACCGAGCATGTACTGTTTGCCAGACACTGGAGAATCCAGTCCAAAAACTCTTGATTCTCAAAACAATCCATCAGAGAGATGCTATTTGTATCAGATAGATGCTCTTATTCTCCCTATTTCACAGATGAGAAAACCAAGGCTGTGGGAGGTCAGGTGACCTGCCCAAGATCCCACAACTAGGAATAGGTACTTGGGTTTCATATTCACCTTGCTGGGCCCTCCAGACCCTGCTGGTATTTCTCCCCTCCCCTCCGATTTTGGTCCTCCCTCATTCTTCCTTCCTCCAAAGTCTCAAGCTCAGGTGTGCTCATGTCTCACCCCTTACCCCTTTATGTCTGCGTTCCCCCCCCCACCCCACCCCTCCTGCTCTCTGAGCCCCTCCCTGGTTGTTTCCTCCGTCCCTGAACAGGACTAATTTAGCAAATGCTCCAATCTTCTTATGATGGTCCGGCCTCAGCAGAATTAGCAGGGATTAGATTCAGACGCATGACCCCCCGGGGGAGGGGCTCCGTGGAGACAAATGAGTTTTATTTATTTTTACAAATGTTTTATTTATTTATTTGAGAGAGAGAGAGAGCACAAGTGGGGATGAGGGGCAGAGGGAGAGGGAGAAGCAGGGAGCCCAGACACGGGGCTCAATCCCAGGACCCTGAGATCATGACCTGAGCCAAAGGCAGACGCCTAACCGACTGAGTCACACAGGCGCCCCCTACAAATAAGTTTTAACTAAGTGATGCCTTCCTCCACAGTAAATCATGCCTAGGACATGCAGTAATAATAAAATCACAGCCAAACTCTTCATCGGGCACTTATGACGTGCCAGGGACCATTAGGCATGTTCCTTGAATTTTGCCCCCCCCCGGTCTTCATTACAGCTTCACGCAGTGGGCTCCATCCTCCAGCTCCCCTACTTCATGGGTCAGGAAGGGGTAAGGAACCTTCCCACAGCAAACGGGGTCCAGCCCTAGCCTTCCCGGTGCTTCTCAGAGTAGAGATGGGACAGAGGCTGGGAGGCAAGGATGGAGTGGCTGGGGCCATGCCATGTGCAAACGTGACCTTAGGGATGGTGCTTTCAGCCCCTCAGAGTACAGAGGATATGGGGGGCAGCAAGAGGGGGTGAAAATGGAGAGGAAAGTGTGCTCTAGGAGGGAGGCACAGAAAGCACAGCAGAGGAAGGGATTAGGCAGGGAAAGAAAAGCCAAGACAGATGCCAGGAGGGGACTTTTGTGCAAAGTATGCCTTCTTCCTTAAGTAGGAGATAGAATTCTCCAATGAAGCATATGGGCCTGGAGTTTTATTGTAGGAAGGTAATTTATGTGCTTAATTTATTTAACAGATATATCATTGTTCATATATTAAGATCTCTTCTTGGGTCAGTTTCAGAAAGTTGTATTTCTCAAGTCATTTGTCCATTTTTCCCTACGTTGTCAAATTTGCTGGCATACATTTGCTCACGATCTCCTAATTTCCATTTGATTTGTCCATAGCATGAAACGATATATCAGACCCAGATAAGAAGAAAGCCTAAAATCAACCATCTTTAACGTCATCTCAAGAAGTTAGAAATGAGGGAAGAAATAGTAAAGATGAGAGCAAAAATTAATAAAATAAAAAATGTACAATAAAAATTAAAAGACATGAGCTGTTTTGTTAAAGGCTATGGAAATCAGTAGCTCCCAAAAACACTAACAGAGAGAAAAAGAAATTACTACTATCAAGAATGAACATGAGAGAGGGCATTATAAAAAATCCTACATTAAGTTATCAATGATCATAAAAGAATATTGTGAACAATTGTATGCCCAGAAATTTGAAAATTTAGATGACAAACTCCCAGCTAAACACAACTTACCCAAACAAGTGCATACAAAAATTAAAAATCCAGGGCGCCTGGGTGGCTCAGTTGGTTAAGTGACTGCCTTCGGCTCAGGTCATGATCCTGGAGTCCCTGGATCGAATCCCGCATCGGGCTCCCTGCTCGGCAGGGAGTCTGCTTCTCCCTCTGACCCTCCCCCGTCTCATGTGCTTGCTCTCTCTCATTCTCTCTCTCTCAAATAAATAAATAAAATCTTTAAAAAAAAATTAAAACTCCAAATAGTCCTCTTAAAGAAGAATAATCCAGGGGCACCTGGCTGGCTCAGTCAGTGGAGCGTGTGAATCTTGATTTTGGGGTTGTGAGTTCGAGCCCCCTGTTGGGGGTAGAGATTACTGAAAAATAAATAAGTAAATAAAAATAAAAACACAAGTACATTATCTTTTTAAAAAGAAGAGTGATCTATAATTAACATTTTTCATACAAAGAACATACCATGCCCATTTGGCTTTGCCAAGGCATTTCACAGAACAATTGAGAAAGAAATTACATCAATCTTATCAAGCTTCCCTAGAACTGAAAGAGAGGAAACATTTTTCATTTTGTTTCATGAGACCTTGATATCCAAAACCTGGCAAGAACTTTGAGATAAAGGAAAATTATAGATCATAAAATCAAAGTCCTAGACAAAATATCAGATGGAATCCAGCATATATAATGAAAGGATAATACATCCTGACCCAAGGTGAGTTTATTCCAGGAATGCAAGACCGATTTAATATTTAAACACCAAGGGAGGTAATTTGTCACATTAATATAATAAAGAGAAGATCTTTTCATTCCAATATCTGCAGGAGGAACATTTGATAAAACTCAAAATCAATTTTTTTATGAAAAATAACAGGGGCACCTGGGTAGCTCAGTCAGTTAAGCATCTGCCTTCGGCATGATCCCAGGGCCTTGGGGTCGAGTCCCACATTGGGCTCCCCACTCAGCGGGGAGTATGCTTCTCCCTCTCCTGTGTGCGTGAGCTCTCTCTCTCTCTCCCCCCCCCAATAAATAAATAAATCTTAAAAAAAAAAAAGAAAAATGACAAACTTTTAGAAATGAGGAAGAGAAGTGAATTCCTTAATCTGATAAAGGATATCTGCAAAAGAATCCTATAGAAAAATTATGTTTAATGTTGGAATGTTGAAAGCCTTCCTTCTATTATTGGGAACGAGACAGAAACATCCAGTCCTCTCCCTTCCTTTCAACACCGTGCTGAAGGCCCAGGCAATAAAGACGTAAAAATACAGTCAAGAAGGAAAAGAAAAGGTATAACAGTTTAGAAAGCAAGCAAGCAAGCTATCTTTGTTTATAGGTGACATGACTTTTTAGGTGAAAACCCACAAGAATCTACAGATAATCATTTAGAATACGAGAATTTCACAAGTTCACCAGATGCAAGTCACTATAACAAGGACTGCTCACTTTCCAAATCCCAGCCACAAATAATTAGAAAACAAATGTTTAGAAACAGATACAATGTACAATAATATCAAACACTTAGGGGAAAAAATCTAACAAAATCTGCGTACATAGAAAACTCCACAATACAACAATAACCGGGAGGACTAACATAGCCCATCAGAAATGGATAAGGTGGGGCGCCTGGGTGGCTCAGTCGTTAAGTGTCTGCCTTCGGCTCAGGTCATGGTCCCAGGGTCCTGGGATCGAGCCCCACATTGGGCTCCCTGCTCAACGGGAAGCCTGCTTCTCCCTCTCCCTCTGCCTGCTTCTCTGCCTACTTGTTCTCTCTCTCTATCTCTCTGACAAATAAATAAATAAAATCTTTAAAAAAAAAAAAAAAGAAATGGATAAGGTGTCCAACTTCATTGGCCATCGGGAAAATAAAAAATAAAGCCACAATGATCTTTCTCTGCCAACCCATCAGGGTGGCTAAAGCTAAAAGACAGATGGTGCTAAGTTTGGGGGAGGATATGGAAGCCCAGGAGGTATCAACTGGTAAAATCACTTTGGGAATCTATCAAACAGAATCTCCTGAAGCTGAGCTCAGAAATTCCACTCCTAGGAAAATACCAAAAGAAATCCGCACGCAACGGATAAATCAAAGGTGCTATACCATGTTTCGGAAAGCTTGTCGGGCATCAGACCACAGACAGACAGACCATTGTCACAGGCAACAGGCGTGACTTGCAGACAATGATGAGCAAAAGAAGGCAAACACAAAAAAGGATACGTTCTGTGATTCTGTGCCTGTAAAGTTCAAAACCAGGGGAAACTAACCTGTAATATCAGAAGACTAGGCTGTGGTTATCTTTGGGATAACCACATGGGAGCTGCCATGAGGGAGCTTGAGTATTGAAGGGGAATGCTCTGTTTCTCTCTGGGAGGCAGACATCAGGGTTTTCTCTGCAATAATTTTGTGGGGTTTTTTAAGATTATTTATTTATTTATTTGACAGAGAGAGACACAGCGAGAGAGGGAACACAAGCAGAGGGAGTGGGAGAGGGAGAAGCAGCCTTCCCGCCAAGCAGGGAGCCCGATGCGGGGCTCGATCCCAGGACCCTGGGATCATGAACTGAGCTGAAGGCAGACGCTTAACGACTGAGCCACCCAGGCGCCCCTTCTCTGCGATAATTTTTTAATTTAAATTTTATTAGTTAACGTACAGTGCAATATTGGTTCCTGGAGTAGGATTCAGTAATTCATTGGTTCCGTACAACACCCAGTGCTCATGACAGCAGGTGCCCTCCTTAATACCCATCCCCCATCTCGCCCATCCCCCACCCATGTGATAATTTGTTGCATTTTCCTCAATGGGATACTTCAGTGAAATTTTCCCTTTGATTTTTTTTTTTTTTTAATGTTTCCCCCCGTGATAAAGCTAAAGCCCATTTTCTGGGTCAAAGGGAAGATGTTTTTCAGAGAAAACCTACAGAGCAGTGGATGGGAAAGGGGCTACCTTTCCATGAAGTCCACCAGAGTCTCAGAAGAATTTGGAAGAAAGAAGGATCATTCCCAGAAATGTGGCCCAGAGAGATCAGAACAAAAGGAACCAATTTTCTAAAAAGAGACTGGATCTTATTTTCTTTGTTATACACTCACAGTGCTCCTAACTGCTCTGTGGGGAATTTGCAGGGAGTGCCAGGTAAGTTCTCTCAAGCCCTGAAGTCCTGTTAATTAAACATTAAACATAACGTTTTCTATAGGATTCTTCTGCAGATATCCTTTATCGGATTCCTCAGGGTTCCCAAGCTCTGCAGCTCCTTGTCTATCCTCCTGATGCAGTTTTTGAATGTGGGTGAGGTCCGGAGCCCACGGCCAAGAAAGAATTCTTGAGACGTCTTTGGTGCAAAAAAGTGGTTTTATTAAGGCATGGGGACAGGACTGGGGTAGGGGGGTGCAGAAAGAGCTGTTGCCCTGGAGTTGTGAGGGGTGACGGATTATACACTTGGGAGTTGAGGGGGGGGGTAAGGAAAAAGGGAGGCTTGCAAAAGAACTTTCCTATGCTAAAGAGGACCTACAAGGTATTGGAAGCCTTGCCCTTGTCAAGCTAAGGTTGTTTTTCCCTCTGGCAAAGCATTTACATTGAGACAGTTGGGAGTTTCCCGGAGGAAGGTTATACCCTGCCTCAAGTATCTGTCACTGGGCTACAGGTTAGAAGGAAATTTAATTTGACCTGCATTTCCTTTGACCTTGGTTTTCTACATCACTACTGGGGGGCTGGGTGGCGATGTTAGGGCTCCAGGAAATTGAATCGATGGACCTCTAGCAATAACCTAACTTCCAGGTTTTCTTGTAAATTTCTTATAAATCATGAAGACATTTGTAAACTGCTGGAGACTCCTGTCCTGCAGGACTGTGATCTTTTTAAGTTAAACTTTTGTTTTTTCCTTCCCTTACTTTTAGGGCAGCCAGAAGTGCCTGAGGAATGTCGCACAGGACCCCCTCCCTGCGGGTGGCGGGGTGGGGTGGAGGCAATGGGTTGTGGGGTGTCAGCTTCTGTTCCCCTTCTCACTCCGGGCTGTGGGCAAAATTGTACTCGTGTCCTCTTGCCAGGTGTCCACACTTTCTGGCTTCCGGTTTGCTTCTCAAGTTTGGTTCCAGAAACCTGTTCTCAGAACCAGTGGGGATATAGATGGGGGGGGGGGATGATGGAAAGATACGTGGACGGATGGATGGACAGAGGAAACAGAATCTTAAAAAACTGTATTGGAGTTTGGAAGCTGGATAATTTGGGGGCAGGAGGGAAGATTCTGGAGGGCACAAAAGTACAGAGAATGTATGTGGAAAGGAGTGATAGGCCACGAGAGTCTTCTGAGGGATGGAGGACCATGTCCTGTCCACCCAGCTGGGAGGGGAGAGGGTGCCAGACAGGTGGGTAGAGGGAGGGACTAACGCTGGGGGTGCAGCCAGCCGAGACCCCAGTTAATGATTATAAAGCACTTAGAATAGTGCCTGGCATATAAGAAAAATGCATTTGAATTTCTCTCTCTCGCTTTTTTTTAATATTTAATTTATTTATTCATGAGAGACAGAGAGAGAGAGAGAGGCAGAGGGAGAAGCAGTCTCCCAAGGAACAGAGAGCCCGACGTGGGACTCGATCCCAGGACCCTGGGATCATGACCTGAGCCGAAGGCAGACGCTTAACCATCTGAGCCACCCAGGCACCCTGAATTTCTCTCTCATATATATTTTCTGTTTGCCTTTGTTGCTCCTGCCTGTCTTATCTCTTATCTCTCTCCTCTGTTTTCTGGGAATAACCTCAGAGCTGTTCCAAGGCAGCAAGATCCTGCCACGGCTCACCTCTCCATCCTCCCCTTTCTGCCTGGCTGTCCTCTTCCTGCCCCTAAAAGAAGCTAAGCTCTGGGACCAAGGCCAGTGGTAGGGGCCCACGTGGACGAAGGAGGCATTCCCCTACAGAGCTGGTTCTCAAAGTATGGTCCCTGATTCAGACCAGCTGCATCAGCATCATCTGGGAACTTTTCTGAAGTGCAAATTCGGGGTCCTGCCCCCAGACCCGTTGAGTCAGAAACTGGGGGGGTGGGCGGGGGAGACCCAGGTAGTCTGGATTTTAACAAGCCTTCTAGGGGATTCTGATGTGCACAGATTTTGAAAATCACTGCCTGGTGCTCCAGGCAATTATAACGTGTGATCTCTTATCAAGGGTGGAGACCAGGCAGATACCCAGTGACTCTGCCCTGGGGGGGACAAAGCTGTGGGGCCAGGGATGGATTCTCCCCGCTGCTGTGACAGGTTCTCTCCAGAGCAGAAACAAGAGCACTGTCCAAACCGCCAAAGAGACGGCCGTTCCCCATGCAGGCCAGCACGAGTGACACTTCCCATGCTAACCATGGCTCCCGACCCTGCACCTCCTCACCTTCTAGACGAGACCTCTGATGACCTCCATTTCTCCACATCATCCTACCCAGAGCACAGCCTCGCTTCCTTCCGTAAAAAAATTGTGGTAAAATAGGGGCGCCTGGCTCAGTGGGCTGAGCATCCCATTCTTGGTTTTGGCTCAGGTCACGATCTCAGGGTTGTGGGATCGAGCCCCCCCCCCCCATCAAGACTCCATGCTCCGCACAGAGTCCGCTTGAGATTTTCTCCCTCTCCCTTTGCCCGCCCTGCCCCCAGCTTGCGCACGCTCTCTCTCTAAAATAAAATAATCTTTTTTTAAAAATTGCGGTAAAATCTACAGAATGCAAAATGTATCCCTTTTACCTTTTTTTTTTAAAGATTTTATTTATTTATTTGACAGAGAGATAGAGAGACAGCACAAGTAGGCAGAGTGGCAGGCAGAGAGAGAGGGAGAAGCAGGCTTCCCGCCGAGCAGGGAGCCCGATGCGGGGCTCGATCCCAGGACCCCGGGATCATGACCTGAGCCGAAGGCAGCCGCTTAACGACTGAGCCACCCAGGGGCCCCTCCCTTTTACCATTTTTAAATGCAAAATTCAGTGGTGTTAAGTACTTTCACAATGTTGTGCGACCATCACCACCATCCACCCCCCAGGCCAGGGTTTTTTCCATCGTCCCAAACTGAAACTGTTTCCATTAAACACTAACTCCCCATGCACCCCCCCCCCCCCACGAGCCCCTGGTAACCTGGAATCTACTTTCTGTCTCTAGGTGTACAAGTATCTGCTTGAGCCCCTGACTTCAATTCTTTTTTTTAAAGATTTTATTTATGAGGGGTGTAGGTGGCTCAGTCATTAAGCGTCTGCCTTCAGCTAAGGTCATGATCCCAGGGTCCTGGGATCGAGCCCCGCATCGGGCTCCCTGCTCCTCCCTCTCCCACTCCCCCTGCTGTGTTCCCTCTCTTGCCGTGTCTCTCTCTGTCAAATAAATAAATAAAATCTTAAAAAAAAATAAATAAAGATTTTATTTATTTGTCAGAGAGCAAGAGAGAAAGCACAAGCAGGCGGAGCGGCAGGCAGAGGGAGAGGGAGAAGCCGACTCCCAGCTGAGCAGGGAACCCAATGTGGGGCTCGATCCCAGGATCCTGGGATCATGACCTGAACTGAAGGCAGATGCTTAACCGACTGAGCCACCCAGGCATCCCCCTGACTTTGATTCTTTGGGCATAAAAATCACTTTTCTTTGAACCTCCCCCCTCCCATAAAATACAAGCCCATGTCCTGTATGGATTCTTTCAAACACCCTCTTACCAAGATGCCACTAGATATGAGATGGTAAACCCACATGTGCTCAACTCCTGACGTCCTCCTGACGGTCCTCGGCTGAGGGACACTGACAGCTAGCACCACGTCTGTCTCAGAAACCAACCTACACTCCAAAAGCATGAGACAGACTCCCCATCCCACTGTTACGGGACAGAGGACAGGTTCCGAACTCAGGTTTGGCTGAACATCTCAAAGACCACCCTCTTCATCCGGGGTGGGGGTGGGGGAGCCAGATGGTTTAAAGGGGAAGGTGCGGAAAATGGGGAGGGGGCTGCGTGCTCGATAGCTGACCATCTGTCCTTGCAAGGCTTCCAGATTCCCCCAGTAATGGGCCAGTCATCAAAGCTCCCAGGTGTCTCCCAGTAAAGGCTGGTCCATCAGTCCAACAACCTGCATGCAGACTCTTCCCTGCACCAGGAACCGATCACTGAGGACCCCCTGGCTGTTTTCCAGGGCCTCCCCTTCTGGAAAGCCTGGTCCTTTGTGTCTCAAAGCCAGTGGCCTGCAGGATCTCAAGCAAGTAGGCTAGTTTGTTCTGCTACAAACTGTGGGGTTTAGGTCAGCAAGCAAGAAGCTTGAACAAGTTAACCCTTAAGACAGGTGGGAGTGCTCTTACGGTTCCACCCGCCAACCCAGGTGAGACCCTTCTTCCCAATCTGGGCCAATCTCATCTACTAAATGGTACATTTAATTTCTTTTAAAATGAGAGAGGGAGCCCGCTTCTCCCTCTCCCTTTGTCTCCCTGCTTCCCCCCACCCCCGCCGTGGGTGCTCACTGTTTCTCCTGCTCGCTCTCCCTCTCTCTCTCAAATAAATAAATCTTTCAGAAAAAAAAATGAGAGAGAAAGTGGCCTCTGGTCACGCCTTATACACCAAGGAAATTACTAGATGCTCCCTTGTGGACAGCAGAGCCATTGACTTGGTGACGCATATGTTCTCACCTGCCCAAGAAGGAGAAAAAGATGTCCAATTAAGGCAGAATCTTGCCAGAAAGGAAGGGGCATAATGTCCACTTACGGTAGAATACCACTGTGAGGTACTCCAGCAAACCTCGAACGACGAGATCCCTTTGCTTTGCCTCATTTCGTGTCTGATCACCTATCCTATGCACCCTTCCTCTCCCTCTGATGAAAATAAAAGCCCTCCCCGGGACCTGAACCTTGTAAGCTGTGTTCTCCCCCACTTGAGTCCCGAGCAGACCCTACGCCAGGGAGGAGTTCAGTCCGATGTTTAGATGTGGGTCTGTGAAGCTTGAGGGGCTGGCTCCCCGGGCCCCGAGCTCCTGCGTCCAGCACACAGAGCAGCCCCTGCTCATTCATTCACTAAGAGGAAGGGGCAGCCGTCCACCTGCACCCCCATCGGGCTCCATCCCGTAGGAAAACCAGCAGCACGGACCCCAAACCACCCTCGGGGCCAGCGTGTCTGAGCACCCCTCTGTCCAGGACTCGGGGGCCACTTAGAGAAGGGACCAGAAGGCGAGAGTGGTGTTGGGGGCCACAGGGAGAGGCTGCTGACCGACCGGGCAGGAGAGGATGGAGGCTGGATGGGGAAGTGGGGGGCTGCGGCTCCCAGGACTGGGAAGGGATGGGATGACCCCAGGGCACTGGCTGGAGGGCACTTTCCTGGGACGGGGACCCCGCACCATGAGCAGCGTGGGGTTCCCCTGGGCGAGAGCCCCCTGAGGGTGTGACCAAGGCTGTCTTGCCACTGAGGACCCAGCCCCCAGCCCCGCCCCCACCCACAGGGGGGAAAGGATTACTCACTCACTGTGACTCCTCCAGGAGCAGGGCTGAGGGTGGGTGAGAGAGGGAGAGTCCCGGGACCCTCAGGCTGGGTCTGGGTGGGCACAGCTTGCCGGTGGGATTTAAGCCCCAGGTCCTGTGGGCCGAGCCTCACACGCAGCAGCCGAGGAGCGGTGAGGATGCAGGAGCCAGACCCTCCCGCAGGTGCGCCTGGGCCTACCTGAGCGGCCTGGGCCGGGGTCGGCGGGGGGTTGTCGGCTGGCCGCTGTGGCTGAGGCTGGGGAGTCCTCCTGTCCGGGTGGGGGGGTCCCACCCTGTGCTGTGGGGACTTCTGTGGAGCTGGGGCGTGGACTTAAATTCTTGGGGTGGGCTGAGCAGAGGGCCTGGTGGGCACTGGCCCCCTGCAAGTGTGAGGGAGGCTTTGGCCGTTGGTGGGAGGGGCTGGGGGGCCTGGCGAGGTGGGAGCCCACGTGAGGCAGCAAGCTGGCTGAGCCTGGGGCGCCCACCGTACCGGCCTTCCATGGCTGTGGGCCCTGGAATCACAAGACCGGAACTGTTTATTAGGCCCATTTCAAGGACGCGGACACTGAGGCCCAGATGCGCCCAGGGACTCGGGCTGGAAGGGGGAGAGCCAGGGCCTGACCCCGGGGCATCTGGGCCACAGGCTGCCTCGAATCCACAGCTGGGCCTCGTACCGCAGGCCTGAGCCTCCCACCTGCTCACAAGGGCCTGGCTTGTCTGACCCTGTTTCTCCTTCGACCAGGCCCCCCAGCACCCCAAAGGCTCCCAAGGCTCCGGAAGAAGCGCACAGTGTACCTCAAGGAGCAGCTTCAGGAGCTGAGGAAATATTTCACGATGAACCGTTACCCGAGCTACGAGGAACGCCTCACCCTGGCGGCCAGGCTCGACCTGGAGGAACATCAAGTGCAGGTATGACCCCCCCCGTCCCCCTTGTCCCCAGTCTTCACAAGATCCACGAAGAAGGTGGCACTTCCTGGGGGCTGAGCCCTCCCCCGCTACCGCTGAGTAGACTGAGGCCAGAGGGTCCCACAAAGTTAGCAAGGGGCCCCCTGTGTAGACCCACGGCTGGACCCCAAGTTCACCTCAACCCCTGTGCTGTCCAAACCAGCCAACGTGATCCTGCCCAGACTGAAGCCCTAATGGATCTCCAGGCACCAGCACTGGTGAGGTGGGAGACCCTCTGGGGCAGGCTCCTTCCTGGCCCCTGGGCTCCAGGGTGCCTACCCCCTGCCCCTCCTACTCTTTGGACTCTCTGCTGCACCCCAGGGGCCTCGAATTGGGCCTGGGGTCATAGGGAGCAGTAGGAGTCCCGCTTTTTTCTCCCGAGCAGCCCCACCCCTGGGATGAGGCAAGCCCTTTCACACCTCCTCCTCGTCCCCTCTGTCCCTCCCTCCAGGTATGGTTCAAGAACCGCAGGGCCAACCACTCCAGGCTGCAGGGACTGCCCAAAGGGCGAGGTCAGGGAGCCCCTGCTGTGCCCCGGGGCCGTGGAGACCCCGCATCTGTCCCTGCCCCTGTCCCCGCCCAGGCTCCGGTTCCGGTCCCTGCTCACCCCGCATTCCCAGGGATCCCAGGCATCTCCAGCGTGGCTCAGCACAGCCCCACGCTGGTCCCTGCCCAGCAGGACCCAGAGCAGGGCTCCCGGGAGCATGTCCCTGCCGCCCAGGCCCCTGTCCCAGCCCCGGACCCGGCCAGGCCTCAGGGCTCCCCTGCCTCGGACTTCTCTCCAGACCCCGTGCTGGCCCCCAATTTCACAGGGCTCCTTTTGCCCCAAGACCCCTTGGAGGAATCCTCTTTCCCCTTGATGTCCGGTTCCCAAGAGGGAGAGGACCCTGCGGATGACAGTGGTTCAGAAGCTGTTACTGGATTTATAGGGGAATCTGTCCCCACAGAGTCCTGTAGTTCCCACGGGGCCAGAGGGGACGAGGGTGTCCTCCGTCTTCGTGCGTGGCCTCCATGTGGGTGGGGACAGAGGTGGCGGGTTGGGCTGCACTCCGGATTACTCCTCTGTGGAGGGAACACAGCCCCGTTCATCCCACCTGCTGAGGTGGCATCTCGTGTTCACTGTGGTCACCACACATCATGCTGCTGTGAGTGTCCCCACTGATACTTAGGGCGCCCGTGGGCATTTCTGCAGGATCCCAGGTGTCCCATAGAACCTCTGCTTCCCTTCCTCTGTTTGTTTCGTGGATGCTCTGAGAGCTTTCTAAAGGCCTCAAGCAACCTCACTGGGAACTTAATCAAAAATTGCGTGAAATCTATAGATGGTCTGGGGATGAATTGACATCTTTACCATACGGAGCGCTCCAATCTAAGGATATTACTTATTCATTCATTTGGTTGTTTACAAAGACTCTCCACCAAATGTTCTTTTTTTTTTAAGATTTTATTTATTTATTTGACAGAGAGAGACACAGCGAGAGAGGGAACACAAGCAGGGGGAGTGGGAGAGGGGGAAGCAGGCTTCCCGCTAAGCAGGGAGCCCGACGCGGGGCTCGATCCCAGGACCCTGGGATCATGACCTGAGCCGAAGGCAGACGCTTAACGACTGAGCCACCCAGGCGCCCCCAAATGTTCTTCTTTAAGCACAGAGGTGATATAGACATCTTTCTGGAGGTTTAGTTGTAGTATTTTTTTTTTAAGATTTTATTTATTTATTTGTCAGAGAGAGAGAGCCCACAAACAGGGGAAGGGGCAGGCAGAGGGAGAAGCAGGCTTCCCGCTGAGCAGTGAGCCGGACAGGGGGCTCGATCCCAGGACCCCGGGATCATGACCCGAGCCGAAGGCAGACGCCCAACCGACTGAGCCACCCAGGCGCCCCTTTAGTTGTAGTATTTTATCTCTTGTGCCTGACTTTTTAGATGATAAGTGAAAATTTTATTTTTCCAATCTGTTTGTCCTGTATGTAGGATTCAGCTGATATATTTACTTTGTATCCAGGAACCTGGTTTAATGCTTTTAATTCTAATGACTTAACCTGGACCTTGTTTGGGGGATTGATAACTTTGTAATAAAGTTCATGGTCCTCTTGTAAACACTTTCTCCTGAAGAGTCAGCTAGAGTTATGCCTTTCTTTGACATTCTCAACCACCCCTCCAGGAGAACCCCTCACCCCTTCTCTCGGCCCCTTTGTCTCCCCCTCCCCAACTTCTACCCCCTGTGGCCCTCCTGTCTCCTGGGTCTCCCCACAGCTGTTTCTCTGACCCTGTCCTGGTCCCATTTGGCAAATGCTCCAATCCTCTTAAGCCAGGCCAGCCTCAGCAGAGCAGAGAGAGAATTAGATCAGATTTGGGGGAGGGACACTCATGTGATCCGCTCTCCAGGCGGGTGTGTGTGTGTGTGTGGGTGGTATGGGGATGTGGAGACACTGCCAGGATGTACTGAAAGCCCCTCCTTATCTGACAGACCCTGGTAAGGATGTACACACAAACCACCGAAACCCCACCCCAGTTGTCCCTGGGAGAAATCTAATTTTGCATCTATCCCAGGAGACGGAGCTGAGACAGGGAGAATCCCTGAGGGCTTTTGGGGGGTGGAGGGGTAGGGGGTTAGATGAGATTCAGACTCACACCCTGGGCAGGGGGAGGGAGGCTGGTGACCCTGGGAACCCCCAGGCACCCAGCGGCCCCCACTGAATGGCAAATGGATGGATTTTGTAACATTGGAGACAGTTTGCTTTTGCCCTGACTGGCTGCGCAGGAAGTGAGTGCATTAAGTAGCACAGATCCCTCCCTTCCCACCTTTCCAATTACATTTCACCTTTTACCTAAGCAGCCCCAGCCCCCCTGCCCCCCCCCCCACTGAATCCAAGAACTTTTGTTATCCCCCAGGAAACTTTCCTGGGCTGTGTCCGGACCATCCCCAAGGGAAGCATCTGGGCCTTCCACTCAGCTCAGGAAGGAGGCGGGGTGGGGGGAGTGGATGGTAACTTCTCAAAAAGGCAGGTCTTGGGACTTCCCTATATCTATTCCTCAAGGTAGCCCCAGAGCGAGAATTTCTCTGTTTTCCAACTTGTAGCTAAATAAATAAATAAATAAAAATTTAAAAATGATGGCACCGTGGATCGTCCAATCACGTGGCCAGCCGACACTGTTGATCTGGTGGGACCCATGGTGATCCCTATGATCCAGAGTGCTCCCTCTTTGGTGGTTTTCACAGTGATCCTTTTAGGTCCATTGGCATCTATGGCATCAGTGGTAGAGGTAAGAATCTACTGTGTTTTACTCTGGAGAAGGTGAAGCTTTCAGACTCAGCTGCAGTGTATGGAGGACAAGAAATCCTGATATATGAAGAGTCCATTGTTTGCACCTTCCACAAATGGGCTGAGTTCAAGAAGCTCAATTCTGCTCTGGGTGCTCTGGGTTGGAGATGGAGGTGGTGCAGGGAGAAGTGTGCTTACCTGGTGGGGAGTGGGGAGAGGGGAGAAGGAAGTCAAGCAGAAACCCCCGGTGAGACCAAAAGTGAGGGGCCACTTGCCAGAAGGGACAGACGGGCTCTCTGAATCAGCAGGCGCAGAGGAAACCCATTTTGAGATATCCAGGGAATGGCATGGGATAGATTCGGCCCCAGGGACACAAGATGTTCCATTATCCTGGAGGAAGAAAGTGTGGAAAGGATGCAAAGAACACAGCCATTGTCCAGGCGGCTGGAGGAATGATCACAGTTTCTAGTCTCAACTTCTTGGAGAAAATGGAAGAGGTAACTCATTCCCTAGGAGTGACAAACTGAGTCTTTGAGTCTCCTCTGGTGCAGAGGATGGAGCATTGTATGAGTTGGACACAATCATCGCCTGAGACCCAGATGTGCTGGCTCCTCCACCTGGCCAGAGAGAAGGTGGGGCATTCGATTCCTCACCTGGATTAACCTGGCACCTGATCACGGGAGCCCTCTATCCAACCTGCCAAGGAACCTAGCTCCCTCCAGCTCCAGGTCTGCCGGAGTCTCTCAGGTCCCTGCAGGGCGCTCATCTCAGGGAGGCCGCTCCAGTTGGACACCCCCTTTCAGTCCAGATCCCTGGTTTGGCTCCAGTACATGGGGGTGGGGCCTGAGACTCTGCATTTCTCAGTTCCCAAGTGATGCTCACGCTGCTGGGCTGGGTACTACCATTTGAGAACCGCTGTTCTAAATCATGGGTCTCAAACATTGCCACCCATTAGGGCCACCTGGGGGTTTTAATATTCTCATAGTCCCGGCCAATTAAGCAGTGTCTCTGGGGGAAGGACCCGGGCACCGGGAGTCTAATGTGCAAAGCCTGAGATCTGTTCTCAGTCAAATCTCTGCTGAGGAGGGCGCCTGGGTGGCTCAGACGGTTAAGCATCTTCCTTCCGCTCAGGTCATGATCCCAGGGTCCTGGGATGGAGCCTGGAGTCAGGCTCCCTGCTCAGCAGGGAATCTGCTTCTCCCTCTTCTGCCTCTCTCCCCGGCTCATGCTCTCTCTCCAGCTCATGCTCTCTCTCTCTCCCTTTCTCTCAAAAAAAAAAAAAAAAAAAAAAAAAATCCAAATCTCTGTTGAGGAGTAGTTGGACTCAGGGAGTTGAATATTGCTGTCATTATTAAGACCATACCAGATTTTACGTTACTAAAAGAAAATTCAATTTTAGTATATGTGCTGCCGAAGCGAGCACTAAAAGAAAATTCAGAATTGCTGTATCTGATTGTCCCTTTTGCTAAAATCCATCTAAAAAAAATCAAGTGCCACAAAAATACAGGTTTTTTTTTTTTTTTAAGATTTTATTTATTTATTTGACAGAGAGAGACACAGCGAGAGAGGAGATACAAGCAGGGGGAGAGGGAGAGGGAGAAGCAGGCTTCCCGCCGAGCAGGGAGCCCGATGCGGGGCTCGATCCCAGGACCCCGGGATCATGACCCGAGCCAAAGGCAGACGCTTAACGACTGAGCCACCCAGGCGCCCCAATACAGGTTTTTAAAGGTAGTTGTTTTTTATAGTAAGCGAACATAGTATCCACTAGTGACTTTGCTTGTAAAAAAAAAACAAAACCAAAACACCATTTTTTTTTACTCTTTACTTGAAGTTTCTCTAAATAAGTGCCTAACAGGAAATACCTCTAAACTAGTGTACCTTTAATATTGTTGTTACAGCAAACAACGTGCCTAGAGACACAGGTCAGATCAAAGATGGGGTTCATTCAGGGCCACCCTGGGGGGACAGAAACGGGGTGTGCACATACCTGTTGTGACGTCCTGAGGCCACCAGGGGACACCCATACACCGCTTTTCTGAGCCTGGACCTTGGGCTGGATGGGACAGATGCTCCCAGTCCTTGGTGTATACCTGTCAGAAACGGGATGCACCAAGACACGTATAGAAAGATATAGTCCATAAGATATAGTCCTTAAGGTGCATTAAGGATTGTAAACCCAAGCTAGCAACTTCCCAAATGCCCATCAGGAATAAAATGGATAAAATAAGTTTTGGTGTATTCGCCCAATGAAATACTGTTATGTGAGCTCGAATCTCAGGAGTGTGATGAGTCAAGGGAGCCAGACACAGAATATGACACTGAACTTACGGTGAGCAGGAAACTTGGTAAGAGGCTGCTTGCTTTCCGTTTTGCATTTCTGCTGGTGCTATGGCTTGAGGTTTGTGCCCCTTTCAAATTCTTATCTAGAAAACCTAATGCCCACAGTGATGGTATTGGGAGGTGGGGGGCCTTTGGGAGGTGATTAGGTCAGGGGGGTGGATGGATTGATTAGGAGTGGGCTCTTATAAGAGAGGCCCCAGAGAGCTAGCTCCCCTTCTTCTGCCCTGTTCAGAGACAAGCAGAAGTCTTGCCCCTCCCCCTCCCCCAAAAGAGGGCCCTCACCGGATCATGCTGGTGCCTTGATCTCAGACCTCCAGCCTCCTGCACTGTGAGAAATAAACTTCTGTTGTTCTGTTGTTTATAAGCCACCCTGTCTTGGGTGTTTTGTTATAGCACTCACCCAGTGTGTCAGTGTGGTTTTATTTACTTTTATTATTTTTAAAAATATTTTGTCAGAAAGAGAGAGAGAGCACAAGCAGGGGGAGCAGCAGAGGGAGAAGGAGAAGCAGGCTCCGTGCTGAGCAAGCAGCCCAATGCGGGACTCAATCTCAGGACCCCGGGATCATGACCTGAGCCCAAGGCAGACGCTTAAACAGCTGAGCCACCCAGGCGCCCCAGAAATGATCTGTTTCTTAGTCTGGTTGTCAGTTACATGGACTGTTGAGTTTGTGAAAATTCACTTGTCTCTACATACATCACCTATGTCTTTATAAAATATACATATTAATGGCTAAATGAAGTGTGGTATATCCATAGAATGGACTATTACTTGGCCATAAAAAAGAAATGAGGTATCGCTACATGTGCTACAAAGTGGATGAACCTCAAAAACATCATTCTAGCTTTCTGTGCCGATAGCCCTCTCGCAAACATGGTGAACGTTCCTAAACCCACCGGACTTTTCTGCAAGAAGTGTGACAAGCACCTACCCCACAAAGTGACACAATACAAGAAAGGCAAAGATTCTCTTTATGCTAGGGAAAGTGGCGTTATGACGTTATGGAAGCAGAGTGGCTATGGTGGGCAGACTAAGCCAATTTTCTGGAAAAAGGCTAAATCTACAAAGAAGATTGTGCTGAGGCTTGAATGTGTTGAGCCCAATTGCAGATTTAAGAGAATGCTGGCTATTAAGAGATGCAAGCATTTTGAACTGGGAGGAGCTAAGAAGAGAAAGGGCCAAGTAATCCAGTTCTAAGCTTCATATTTTGTTATATTATGAAGACAATAAAATCTTGAGGTTATGTTCACTTCAAAAAAAAAAAATTACTCTAAGTGAAGGAAGCCAGACACAAAAGGTCACGTATTGTATGATTCCACTTATATGAAACATCCGGAATGGGCCAATCCATAGCCACAGACAGAAGATGAGTGATGGCCAGGGGCTGGAGGAGGGGTGAGGGGGGACTGTCTGCTTAACGGGTATGGGGTTTTCTTCCTGAATTGTTCACATTACAATGGGTAATTCTATGTCATAAATTTTACCTCAAAAAAATTAAAAGTGCGATATGAGGAATTCTTAATCGCAGGAAACAAACTGAGTGTTGTTGGAGTGGGGGGTGGGGTGGGAGGGATGGGGGGACTGGGTGATAGACACTGGGGAGGGTGTGTGCTCTGGTAAGCGCTGTGAATTGTGCAAGACTGTTGAATCTCAGATCTGTACCTCTGAAACAAATAATGCAATATATGTTAAGAAAAAGAAAAAAGAAGAAGAAGAAGAAGGTAGCGGGAGGGGAAGAATGAAGCAGGGGAAATCGGAGGGGTAGACGAACCATGAGAGATGATGGACTCTGAAAAACAAACAGGGTTTTAGAGGGGAGGGGGGTGGGAGGAAGGGTTAGCCTGGTGGTGGGTATTGAGGAGGGCACATTCTGCATGGAGCACTGGGTGTTGTGCACAAACAATGAATCATGGAACACTTCATCTAAAACTAATGTTGTAATGTATGGGGATTAACATAAGAATAAAAAAAAATAAAAAAAATAAAAAAATTAAAAGTGTGTATTATACTTTCATTTAAAAATTGCATGAGGGGAAGCTTGAGTCTCTGAGAACTTACTTAACTCACCAAAGTTTATACAGTTAGCAATTCACCAGGATCTTGATTTGAATGCAAGCTCTTCCCCACAAATGTCCTACTGGTTCCCCACCCCACCACGGTCAGCCTTGCAATGATTACCATTAAGCATTGGCTGTGCCTTTTTTCAACGAAAGGAGTCATCCACAGGGAAGAGACGCCAAATCTTTATTGTCACAATAATCAGGGAAACGATATATTCTGAGAGGCGGCTGATGAATCCTATAACTTCTATCTCTTCAAGGACACTGAGACTTATTTAAAGACTGTGGAAGAAAAACAGAGGTTAGGATAGTATCACAGTCTGTCACCCTCCAAGACAGGATGATCAGTTTCTTCTCCAACTGGAGATCTGGTCTACCCCTCAGAACTAACTAGCATGAGTAAGTAGAGCAGGAGAACGACAGGTGCATTGATCAGTGGCCATAGGAAGGTTTAAGGCTTTCTCTTTCACTCTCAAATTCAATACGCCACTATTGATCATTTTAATTTCTTGATTATTTAACACAAGTTACATAGTCTCTTATTTGAACAAATGTAATACATTGGTAATTTTCAGTGTTAAGAAAGTTAAAAATAGGCAGGCCAATAAAGCTGACGGAGGATAATTTGGAATAACCTAAAATGTAACACCCACACTTGAGATGTACATACCCTTTGACCCAGTGATTCCACTCAGCTATTCTAATAAATTTTAAAAAGCCAACCCTCACACACTCACTTAAAAATCAATGTAGAAAGTACCCGTTAAAGACAAGCAGGTTATACTTTCATAGAATAGTATATCTGTATTTTGAATTTGGTGAAAGCATGAAGAAAAGTGAGGTAGGTTTATGAATTCAGGTGGAAAAATCACCATAATGTGTATATTTAAATGAAGATCAAGTCACAGAACAAAAGGGATAGTATTATTCATTCATGTTTTAAAGGACCTTAAAATTGTTATCCTTGTGTAAATGCATGGAATAAACCTGAAAGAACACATCCTGAGCAGCTGGTTGGATTTCTCGCCGTGGAAGAGAGTAGGAAGCAAAGAGGCAATGTGAGCGGGACAGGGAGGGGTGATGTTTTACTCCCCATATTCACATAGTGCCTCAATGTTTAAGTGAGCATCTGTTCATGAATCACTTGTGTAAATCAAAATTAGTGTTTAAAAAATAAAAGTCAGGGGTGCCTGGGTGACTCAGTCAGTTAAGCGTCTGCCTTCAGCTCAGGTCATGATCTCGATGGGCATATTCTTGATGTCTGTTTCCACATCCATAAAAAGGCAATTTTGGTGGGGAGAGACGTAATGAGTGGAAAGCTCATAACTGAGCCTATCATTTAATGGGACGGTTAGTAAGTGCTCTCTGCACAGAACCTCATAAAGATGATGGGATTTAACACTGAGTTTGGGTATAACCTATCCCTTTGAGCCCCTTGTTTCCTCATTTCTCTGTGGGCATAATGACACCTATAATCATTCCCTGAGGTCATCGTGAAGGTTGACTGAGACACCATTGTACACGCAATAAAGTCCTCACTGTAATTCAAGAGCACAGAGATGAGTGAGCTCTCCGTGGTCTGTTGACCAGGCTCTTCTTCCCGCATCTTCTTTTCAGTGGAAACTGACCTCGTTTCTTCATCCTCATGGGGTCAAGGACAGATCATTCAATCCAGGGGCCAGCAAGCTAGAGCTCAGAGGCCAAATCCAACCTGCCATCTGTTTTTATGACCCTTGAGATATTGGTTTTCTTAAGTGCCTAACTGAAAATGAAAGTCAAAAGGTGATTGATACTTTGTGACACCTGAAAATTATATGACATTCAAACTTCGGGGTCTATAAGTTAAGTTTTATTGGAACACAGCCATGTTCATTTGTTTTTTATTGCCTGTGGCAACTTTTGTACTACTGGGCAGAGTTGAGTATGTGAGAGACCGTAAGACCTATGTGCCTAAAATACTTACGAATGGGCCCTTTACAGGAAACATTTGCTGACCCCCAATCTAATCCATCACTGGATAATGTAGACCCCAAGCTTCCCTTTCCATTAACCTAGAAGGTTCCCCACTTTAAGAGACCCCCGCCACACACACACACACACACACACACACACACACCCTTCTTCCCCAGCCAACTTACTCATGAGGAGAGCATTGCTTCCATTTTCCATCTTGGTTATAATTTTTTGTCAGTGAGCACCAACTCCGATTCAAAACATAGCCCTCCTTGGTGCATTTGTGAAAGAGTTTTCTTCTGTAGAAGAAGGGGAAGGTACACTTGGGGGGATCTGCAGAGAAAGGAAGGAGCAGAAGGGGAAATATGAACATGGCAAGTTTTAGGATCAACCATCACTAAACTCACAACACATGCTTTGTCCACCACACCCAACTCTTTTCAAAGTGGTCAACACATGGAGAATAGTCAGGATTCGGACTCAGGTATATCCAACACCAAAGTCACTTGGTCGGCTACTATCAGTTGCTTCTTGGATCCTTGGCATCCAAGACAGCCCATCATAGCGATGCTCACCTTGCCCAGTACAGTACCGCCATCTGCCTTGGAATTTCTTGTCGAGTGAACACCAATCATAATCGCTGCGGATGGAGATGCAGTTGTAGTAGATGGTGTCACCATACAGAAATGGAAAGACACAGGTACTGTTAACAAACTCTGGAAAAGAGGAAACATGCCAGGTGTGGGGCAAGCTTGCAAGGGAATTGACTTTCTAACATCTGTCCCAATTATCCGCACCATGCTTGCCCACCACACTCCCCGCTGTGTGGCACAAAATACACGTGACCAGAGGGCCCACACCTCACCTCGTAAGCCAAAATCCTTGAATCTTTCTCATAGTCTCATTTCTCCCTCTCTCCTAGAAGAGTAATCTGTTAGCTTGCCAGAGTGGCTCCTGAGTATCTCTCAAAGCTATCCACCTATCTCTGCACTTTCATCACTACCTAGCATTGCACCTTGCCTTGACTATGACAGTAACTTATTTCTGGATGCCTCCAACCTATTTGTCCCAACCATTCTCCACACTGCAGGGAAAATGTTCATTCTCAAAGACCAGCCTGCCCCTGCCCCCAAGCTATGAATACCCCACTGCTCTTAGGATCAAAAGTAGCATTGAAATGGCTTATGATATTCTGCTTGATCTTAGACTTCAAGCCTCACCTTGGACCACCCTTCCTGTGTTTTCTCTGCTCACACTTTGTTAGGTGTCCTGAGTGTGCCCCCATCTTTCTTGCCTTGGGGATTTTGACATGATTTTCTCTGCTTGGTAGGAACACCACACACCCTTTGCCTATTTACCCTCTTAGGTTCAGCCTAGATGTGAATCTCTATGGAACTTTCTGGAACATCCAAACTACACTAGATCCACTTGTATTGCACTTTCATACAGGTTCCCATTCCTTATAATTATTTAATGCATAATGACTCGTTCAAGGTCTTTCTCATTTGTCAGAAGTGACCCCATGTATCTTGTTCAAAGCTAGACCCATGATATCAACTGATAGGGACTGGCACACAATAGAGACTTAATGAATAAATATTGGTTGGCCCTTCATAAGCCTGAAGTAATTTTGACATGAGATTAGTGTATTGTTATCATTTAACAATTATTATTTATTGATATATGTTATTTACATTTATTATTTAATAATATGCTATTTATTAACAATTATGTTTCCACCTTTATTATGTTATTATTTAACCATGTTATTTGTCATTTTGATATTTATTATTTAATATTTTAAATTATTTAACAATGTGTATAGCATTAGTTATTGTTATGTTTTATTATTAATTAGTTATTATTATGTATTTATATAATATAGCTTACTCTGTGCCAGACATATTACACAGTTTACAAGCACTGATGCATTTAAAGATTTTATTTATTTATTTATTTGAGAGAGAGAGAGAGAGAAACAGCATGAGAGGGGAGAGGGTCAGAGGGAGAAGCAGGCTCCCCGCTGAGCAGGGAGCCCGATGCGGGACTTGATCCCGGGACTCCAGGATCATGACCCGAGCCGAAGGCAGTCGCTTAACCAACCGAGCCACCCAGGCACCCAAGCACTAATGCATTTAATGATATCCTCACATCAGTCCAGTGAACTGTTGTGAGGCTCCTGCTGAGGTCAGCTTTGGTCCTCAGCATGCGATCCCTACACATAGAGACCCTGCTGTCTGCCGACTACCCTGAAAAGAGCTTCCTTCTGACTCCAAAGCCAAGAGGGCTGAAGGGCCACATTTTCCAGTACATACTCCAGGCTACGTTGGTTCAACCCCTAAACAAGTGATTGGCAATTGAAGCAGTTAAGAAACCAACCAACATTTTGGGATTCAAGTTTCCCTTTCACTGGCTTGACTACCGGACAAAGTGTTCCCACATCTCCATTTCTCTCTCGAAACTCCTGATTTCATGAGTGCGTAGGTTAAAACCAGCCATCCACATGTGGAAATGGTCCACTTCTTCCAAGAACT